AAAAGAAAAGAAAAGAAAAGAAAAGAAAAGAAAAGAAAAGAAAAGAAAAGAAAAGAAAAGAAAAGAAAAGAAAAGAAAAAAATGCATTTTGTATCATGACCCAATCTCCACCACATAACAAAAATAATACCTTACCATGTGTAATGCATTGATATTTTCTGTTACTTCACTGTGAGCTTTTGGTTTTTTTTGAGATGGAGTCTCACTTTGCGGCCTTGGCTGGAGCACAGTGATGCGATCTCGGCTCACCACAACATCCACCTCCCAAGTTCAAGCGATTCTCCTGCCTCAGCCTCCCGAGTAGCTGAGATTACAGGCACGCACCACCATGCCTGGCTAATTTTTATATTTTTAGTAGATACGGGGTTTCTCCATGTTGGCCAGACTGGTCTAGAACTCCTGACCTCCTGATCCATCTGCCTTGGCCTCCCAAGTGCTGAGATTACAGGCATAAGCCACCACATCCAGCCTGTAAGCTTTCTTAACAGTGGTTTAGTTCAGTAAATTGATTTTATGGCCACGTGTGGTGGCTCATGCTTGTAATTCCAGAACTTTGGGAGCCCGAGGTGGGCAGATCACCTGAGGTCAGGAGTTCAAGACCAGCCTGGTCAACATGGTGAAATCCTGTCTCTACTAAAAATATAAAAATTAGTTGGGCATCGTGGGCAGGTGCTTGCAACCCCAGCTACTCAGGAGGCTGAGGCAGAAGAATCCCTTGAATCTGGGAGGTGGAGGCTGCAGTGAGCAGAGATTGCACCACTGCACTCCAGCCTGGACAACAAGAGCGAAACTCTGTCTCAAAATAATGATAATAAATAAATAAATTCGTTTCATAATCTACCTAATACAATGAGTCCTGTTGTTTGAAAAACACTCTTCTTTTAGAGGCTGGAAGAGACTGCCACTCTAAAGACCCCGAGCAACTAAATTCAGCCCAGGTCACCTTCGCAAGAGTGGGCTTTATACTGTGTCTCTGAGAACTCAAGGGTGATCACTCAGGTGTGTTTATTGGAGGATGGAGCCTTAAATAAGATCACCTACATACCTGCTCTCCAGTCTTCCCATTCCTGTGTCAAGACTCAGGTTTTCAGCTCAGCAACCCATCAGTATTATATGGGTTCTAGCCCCGCACCCCTGCAAACCCACCACACACACTTCTTCCCAGGCTGAACAGCTCTCCCAACATTAAAAAAAAAAAAAATTATTAAAGTGGCTGCTTCAGGAAAAAGTTAGACAAGTCAGCTCTGGTTAAAGCAAAAGCCATTTTGAAAAACAACATGAACTCTACTGATACGTACCCATTCTACAGAAAAGCATGCTTAAAGTAGTTCATTCCAATTTTTTGTTCTTCACAGACCAGAAAATTTTCTAGTCCAAGTAGAAAATCCCTTTAAGAAATTAATTTCCTCAGGTTCTAGAAGATACATATTCATTCCAATATAACATGGTTTTGAAATTAAGGCAACGCTCATTTTTTTAAAACAGCTGTTCCACAAGAGGCTCAATAATTTGGATTTGATTTTGAAGCTACAGAGTTGGCTTTATCAGATCAACAATGTGTCTACCCAACAGAAACAAGACTAAATCCAAGGTCCATATACAGTAATGAGGCTGACGAAAAACAGAGCAATCATATAAAATAAATTCCTCTCTCAAGACTGTTATATACCCTGAGAAGCCAACTTTTATCATTCTAAACTGGAAACTCTTAATAGCTGCTTTCTTTTCAGAATCCGAGCACTCAACAATTCAGGGTTTTATATTTGCATATGACAATTTTTCTGGAAGGTCACAATCTAGCTTCTGTATTACAAATTCAAAATGCCCTTCTAGTCCTCTACCTTCCAAGATATTATTTTTAAAATAGTAAAGGAATAAAAAAATTCATAAACCTACAATATCAAAGAGTACATAGAGAAGGGCCATCAGAAGAGACTTCAACAAATTTCCAGAACAGAGAAAGGAAAGACACGGTGGTAAATGCTGATATCTTCTTCTAGAACAAAAGCTCCACAAAGGCAGGGACACTGTCTGTCTTGTACACTGTTGTGTTTTTGGTACCCAGCACAGGGCCTAGCACACTAAAGATTACACACACACACACACACACACACACACGAACTGAGCCAATTTTCTTATGAGCAGGTAAGCATGGAGCTGGTGTCCATACATGGACACCAGGAGACCTGAAAGGACCCTACACCACAAAGCAGGATCTTGCCCACTGGCCCTGAAGCCTAGCCTCGCTGTCCACAAGGCCCAGCCATGCACAGAGCTTCCACTTAACACACCTACTACTTCACTCTCACACTTACAGAGATAACCACACCTACACCAAGAGTGAGAAAGAACAAGACAGGGAACAGAAAACTCTCCCTAGAGCAAATGGAGACAATTGCGGGGGGGGGACCTTTAAAAGAAAACTCTGGAAAAGGGACAATTACAGAAAAAGAACACAGCCTTGCAAATCAAACTGACTTTTGTCCCCCAAATCAAAAAAGTTAACAAAGGATAAAATATAAAGTTGGGGCATTCCTGAAGAACAAAGAGGCTTGAAAATATGACCATCCCACAGAAAAATATTCATAGGAAAAATTCAGAAGTTCCAGGAATAAAGATGATCCTAAAACCTCCATGAGGGTTAAGGAGAGTGATTTTTTTTTTTTCCTTTTTTTTTTTTTGAGACGGAGTTTCGCTCTTGTTACCCAGGCTGGAGTGCAATGGCGCGATCTCGGCTCACCGCAACCTCCGCCTCCTGAGTTCAGGCAATTCTCCTGCCTCAGCCTCCTGAGTAGCTGGGATTACAGGCACGCGCCACCATGC